CAGGTAGATCGCCTGTGACAGCTTCTAACTACGGAGACCATCACCTCTGACGGCCTTTATTTAAAGGGCCATCAGAGATGAGTCACCTGTGACGGGTCCCAACTCGCCCTAGGCAAGCGGAGACCAACACCTCTGACGGCCTTCTAGTAACTTGCCCGTCAGAGGTGGGTGTCACCTGTGACGGTCGGCCACCCGTCAAAGGTGACTGGACTCACCAGTGACCACTGATCACTGACCATGCGCGAAGCCGTCAAAGATGAGGGTTTGGGCCCGTCACAGGTGACCTTGGCCAGTGTAGTGCACGATCGCCGAGAAGGCCACGGCAAAGGAGGCGTGGGACGCCATCACAACCATGAGGGTTGGGGATGACCGCGTGAGGAAGACGGTGGCGCAGAACCTCCGGCGCAAGTTTGATTTGGTGACGTTCAACGTCGGCGAGGCCGTCGAGGACTTTGCGCTTCGTCTCAATGGCATGGCCGCAACTCTGGCTACCTTGGGCGTAAAGCTGGAGTAGAGCGAGATCGTCGACAAGATAACCCCTAGCGTGCCGAAGCGTCTCAAGCTGATCGTGGTTGCGCTCACGACTTTGCTCGATGTGTCGACGCTCACCGTCGAGGGCCTTACCGGGCGGCTCCGGGCGGCGGAGGATGCGGACGAGGAGCCACCGGCATCGCTGTAGCACGAGGGCAAGCTGTACCTCACAGAGGAGGAATAGGGCGTGCGACACAAGAAGCGGGAGGCGGAGAACCACTCCGGCAATGGCTCCAGCGCGAGCACAGGGCACGGTAGAGGAGGAAAACACGGTCGCGGGCGCGGGCGTGGCAATAGGAAAGGTTCATCGTCGAGTGGGCCGTCCAACTCCAGCAAGCCCACAGGCAACGAATTTAAGCGGTGTGGTAAAATGGGCCATTGGGCCCGTGAGTGCCGCTCAAAGCCCAAGAAAGAGCAAGCCCACATCGTCCAGGAGGAGGAGGACGCTTCTCTGCTTCTCGTGAAGATGTCGCCCACCTTATCCCCTCCAGCGCCACCGCTAGCCACGAACGCGTCGCCTCTCCAACCTTCCCCACAAATCTCGCCAGTGATTCTGCTCCCACAGGCCGAACCAGCGCCATGGAGGGCGGAGCAGGAGCATGGCGGGGGCAGACCAGAGGCGGGGACGGCTGGTGGCAGCACACTTGAGGTGGCGACGGCAACGGCTGGAGCTGGCGCGGCAGGGGCGGCAACGGCGGGGTCCGGTGCCCCGGTTCTGCTCCGGGAAGAGAAAGTGCTCGCCCACCTGGACAAGGAGCAGGAGCGTGATGCGGAGACATGGGTCCTAGACACCGGCACCACCAACCACATGTCGGGATCCCGGGCGGCGTTCGTGAAGCTGGACACGGCGGTGCTCGGGACGGTGCGCTTCGGCGACGACCCGGTGGCGCGGATCGAGGGTCACGGGACTGTCGTGTTCGTGTGCAAGAATGGAAAGCTCCGGTCATTCTCCGACGTCTACTACATCCCACAACTGACGACGAACATCGTGAGCCTCGGGCAGCTCGACGAGGCCCGGTACAAGGTCAGCATCAATGACGGCATGATGCAGATTCGGGAGCCCGACCGTCAGTTGCTGGTGAAGGTGAAGCGCACGCCGAATCGGCTGTACATGCTCCATATCAAGTTGGCACAGCCATCATGCCTGGCGGTGCGTGGGCATGGAGACGAGGTCGCATGGCGCTGGCATGAGCGTTTTGGCCACGTCAACATGGCGGCGCTACGGAAGCTGGCTCGGGAGGAGCTGGTGCGGGGATTGCCGAAGGTCGGGCAGCTCAAGCAGCTGTGCGAGGCGTGTCAAGCTGGGAAACAACGGCGTACTTCGTTTCCTATGCAAGCCGAGTACCATGCGTGGCAACTGTTGGAGCTGGTGCACGGTGACTTGTGTGGTCCAATCACGCCGGCAACACCAAGGGGGAACAAGTACTTCATGCTGTTGGTGGACGACCTCAGCCGGTACATGTGGGTAGCCGCGATTCCTTAAAAGGATCGTGCAGCGGCTGCCATCAAGGACATCCAGGCGCGTGCGGAAGGCGAATCCGAACGCAAGCTCAAGGGACTCCGCACTGATCGTGGAGGTGCATTCACCTCAATCGAGTTCGCGGAGTACTGCACGATTGAAGGTGTGTATCGTCAGCACACCGCGCCCTATAGCCCGCAGTAGAACTACATCGTCGAGCGCCGGAACGGCACGGTTGTGGCGATGGCAAGGAGCATGCTCAAGGCGAAGGGATTGCCTGGATGGTTCAGGGGCGAGGCGGTAAGCACAACTGTGTATGTGCTGAACAGGTGTCCGACGAAGAGCGTGGACGGCATGACCCCGTTCGAGGCATGGCACGGGAAGAAGCCGGTGGTACACCACCTGCGGATGTTTGGCTGCATCGTCTACATCCGGAACACGACGTCGCACCTTACCAAGCTCGAGGACCGTGGCTGCAAGATGATCTTCGTCGGCTATGAGTGAGGGTCCAAGGCGTACTTAGCGAATTATCATCTAAGTAATGATAGATGTCAGAAATTTCTAAGGGTGAAGTGTCTCGATCTAAATGAGACGTCCATTCTCCCCTAGAAATGTGGCCGAATAATAAGGCCATAATTTCGACAACGTCTCATAATAATTCAACCCAAAATAATGCCATTAAATCAGGACATTAAGCATGTCCCTATTTCTTGCAAAGAACTTACACAAGAAAATTTCAAGAGTAGCATACATAGGACATAGAGGCAATTTTATTTCCCCTTGCGAGGAAAGTGAGCTTTATTATTATTAAATTTGGAGTTGCTACAACCCCATAGTAAAGCTTCATCTTAGCCATCAAATGACAAGATTAATAGGATCTTGCTTAGTTTGCCTCTTAGTCTTCTATATTTCTTATTGATTTGCGGAATGATGAACCAAGTCAATTATGGTCCACTTTGTCTTAGTATTACAACTCTGAAAATGACCGTAGTCTAATGGGAGAAGAATCATATGAAATGGACAAGTGACGCATATGAAATGTGCGATATCCATCTCACTAAGTTTGCACGCCATGTGATTTATTTCTTATGCTACCTTTTAAATTATGGCGGCAAATGTGCATAGGCACTAAAATTGTACTAAGCATTAGTTTTTGACAAACTTCTAAAGTTCATCTCAACGTTTGCTAGATACAGTTTTGCAATATCATGCTCAAAATTCTCCCGTAACACTAACAGGGATGATAATCTCAATATTTATGAGTGACATGCGAAACATAGCATTATATTGGCCTTCTCCCAGGCTAAAGATGCCTCTTGAGTTTAGGAAAAATTAGTGACATCAGCTGCGGGAGCCACAAGGAATCTTTTGTTAATGCTAAGTCATACTCAAATAGGCATTAGGCTCAGTTAAGTCAATGAGGAATAATAATAATAATTCCATAGACTTTAACTGATAAATAAAATTAAGTGCCACTATTATTGTGGTTGCTTGTGCAAATTACGTACAATAGTACATTAACTTACACAATAATAACTTAATCTTTATTTCGCTTTGTATCACCGTTGGGCAGAGACAAAAACGAAGGAATCAATAAATGAAATTACTTATAATCCAAAATCAAGTCACCGTTGGGCAGAAATGATTAGGGAGTAAACATTAATGTCTTAAGTCACATCACCAAAAGGTAGAAGTGATAAAGTAAATAATTTAAAATCCCAAATCAAATCACCATACGGTAGAAATGATTAGGAAATGACGCCATTAGTGATGCCATAGAATTAAAATTAAAATCCTTAGCCATATCACCGTTGGGCAGAAATGGTAAAGGAATTAAGCTTGCTGACAGATTAGATCCTCGATCACATCACCGTAAGTTAGAAGTGATAAAAGGAATTAATGCACTAATGGCATAAATAAAATTGTAAGTCATATCACCATTAAGGCCAAAATGACAGAGAATTAAAATAATGATTGACAATACTTAGATTTCTTCCCTTAATTACATCACCATTGGGTAGAAAATAATTAAGGAAATAACAATCTTAATGAAATCATATTTCTTTCTAGATAATAATCTAGAAATAATTTACTCAGTATTGCAACTGATCAATAATAAGCACTGATAATTGCATATAATTAGTTTACCATGGCTTAGTCAATCATGTGCAAAATAGACTTAGAATTTCATAGTCAAAACACCATTGGTCATAAATAATTATGAATAATCTTAAAATTAATTCCTCAATTATATCACCGTTTGGTAGAAAATAACTAAGGAATAAAAAAATATAATTGACATGCAATTATAATAACGTGGGTTAAATATAACTTCAGATCTTAATGCTTTCTAGTCGAATTTCTCGTTGGTTTCATTCGACTATAATTAAGTTACTAAGAAAATGACCATCATAATGATGTTGACATGAAATCATAAATACTTTCTAGTTAAATTTCCATTCAACTAGAAATAAATTAAGTGGCTTAAGGAAATAATAATCTTTATAAATATTGACATGAAATCATATTAACGTTGGTCAAATATAATATCATATCATTAATTTATTTCTAGCTAAACTTTCCGTTGGTTCCATTTAACTAGAAATAATTTTCTGAGTGATCAAATAATTGACCATAATTTTCCAGCAATTTAAATGGCTAAGAAAGCTAATAAATGAATTTCTGGAAATAAAAAAAATATAAATGCCGGGCTTAAAATTAATAATGCGGCCCATCACTTCCTAAGCCGGCCCATAAAAATGGGCTAAATAAATTCTGAGAAATTAAATTCGCGGGCTTAATAAATTGAAATAAAGGCCCACTCTTATCGAAAAGCCGGCCCAAAACGGACCGGCCCATTTATGTGTGCGCGCGGTGCTTAGGCAGACGCGGCCCAGATCGGCGCGGCCCATGAAGGCGATGGTCCGACGCGGGAGCGACGACGGCCGTCCGATCAAACGGACGGCCAGGATTTCGCCTTCGCCGCTGAAATCGCTTAACGGGTCAAACCCTAACCCTAATCCCCATTTCTCCCCTTCTCTCCCCCGATCCAATCTCCCGGCGAGCGAGCGAGTGGAATCGGCGGCGATCATGGCGGCGACGGCGTTCCGGCGAGGTGGAGCACGCGTGCGACGACAAGCGCCGAGCGGCTTCCATTTGCCGTGGCTGGGGGCGCAGCCGAGAAGGGCGCCAAGCCGTGCCATGGCGTTGGCGGTCCGGCGAGGCGGCGGAGCCCGAAGGTAGCTGCCAAGCCGGCGCTTATCGTCCCCGGCGAGGGACGGTGAGGAGGGGACTCCAAGGCGGCGCGCGCATGGACGTCAACCAGCGCGACCGTGATGGAGAGGCGGCGAGGGCACGCCGAGGCACACGTGGGCGAAGGAGTTGCCCGTGCGGCGACGACGACGATGCCTTCTTCCCGGCGAAGCCCGTACGGCGGCGCTAATGTCGTGCGGCATCTCCGGTGGCTTAGGGCTTCAACGATCCGGTAAATTCCCGAACTCAAAACCCTAATCTTGAGTTTTATTTGGATTTAATTCGGGCTTTGGTCTTAGGGTTCTTAGAACCGAAATTAGGGTTCTTCGAATTTTGGGGATTTTAGGCCGATTTGCTCCGGCTTATTGGGGAAATTTCAATCTTGTTTATTCCCTTTTGCTTAATAGTGGGGAATTTCAATCTAGTTTATCCCCTTTCTTGTTTTGCTGAGTGCAAGCCGAAAGATTAGCTTCGGTCTAGGAATTCTTAGTGTGAGATTGGGAATTTCAATCTTGTTTATCCTAAACCTCTTCTTCTCTTAAATTCTACTACTAAGCAACGAAATTAAACCCTTCAATAATTTTGCTTCTACTGTTTGCCGAGACCACCAGCATAATATGGCTTAATATGCAACCAAGACTTAAGGAAATTAATCTAATCTTATTCAAAATTGCATCATGCCGAATCAATCTTGAACTTTGTAAGGGTGGCTTCTAATCACAGGGATGATGTGATTACGAGGGAACATGAAGGCTAAAATAAAGCTCTGATACCACAATGTTGGAATTTAATCCAATTAATTAATTGAGTCTTAACCTAAATATGATTACCTCTTGCTTATGCGGAAACTAATTGATCACTGACCTGAGATGAAGCATTGCTTTTCTTCTTTCTTCTCCTTTGTTTCTTCTGTTGTGAGATACCTCACGAACCCCTTCCAGTGTCTAATCGATCGGGCGATTGATTTAGGGTTTAGGGTTGGAGAGAGTTGAGTGGTCACCTGCCTCCCTCCTTTCTCTTTCTTTTATATAGCGACACTGGTGGGGCTCGGAGGTTTATCTCAATCTAAAATTCGAATCTATTTTGTACCGATCACATAAAACAGATTTATCTCTTAGTTTGTTTCTTGTTAGGGCCTGTTTGGTATAGCTCCAACTCCTAAATTTAACTCCAAGAGTTGAGTCTGGAGTGGAGTTGTGGAGCTGCCTAAACCCAGCTCCACAACTCTAGTTCATTTTGTGAGAGAGCTCCACCCAGCTCCACTCCCAGTTTTGGTGGAGCCGAAACTGTTTGGCTGAGCTCCAGCTCCAGAAGAGGTGAAGCTGGAGCTGGAGCTGTGCCAAACAGGCCCTTAGAATAGGAAAACCGGTGGGATTTTAACCTTATCCTAACTAACCGGCATTAGCCGATAAAATCAACCAACAGCTAGGTCTGGGTAGTGCTAGAGAAAGAGACGATCGATGTGAGAGCGTAATTACTTTACTGGGAGTGGATGGACTACTGATCACTAGTGATGAGTTTAGTCATGCTTTTCTTGGCCGGTTCATGTCAGAGCAGGCTGCAAGTTTGGCACACACAGTAAGCTGCACGGTTGGTGGTGGTTTGGTAATTCGGTGGTGTATCAAGCTTCATCCAATAAGAGATTAGGAGTAGCTATATTTATCACGTTATATTTTTTGCCACGAAATAGTGAGATCATTTTACATTGTAAAAGATTTTATACGTGTCTAATTTTATTCCAATACAATAGCTTCAATTCCTCTGTTTTAGAACTCAACTTTCCCATTTCGAAATTCCTCTTTTCAAATAGGACATCATTTTCTAAATTATGCACAAACTTATTTTTAGGAAATTTCCTCTATCTTTCTTCCTTCCTCCCTTTTCCCTTCCCCACCTCTCCTTTTTTCTTTTTCTTTTCTATCTTTCCTCATTCCTTTCCTCTTCTTTTTCCCTCTCCTATCTCTAGGCTGACGTATTCTGCTTTCTTCCTTTAGCATACAAACGTTCATAAACTACAAGGATTAGGGATCTACCAAACATGCCCTTAGTACGAGGAATGCCAATATTAGAGTGACAAGTAGCACTATTCATAATAAATTTATTTTTTTATGATCTTAGTATGTTATTGTCTATAAAAGTGTCATGTTAGAGGTTGCAACAATAAGTAGTGAGTCCTTGATCAAGTGAAAACACGTCCACCACAAGGGAGCACAAAATATGAATATATGATCAACTCCACATCCCTTCGCCTACTAATCATGTGGCAGCTCATCCAGTTGCTCTTAAGATATGTCACCTATGTACCGTAAAATGGTAAAGTGATGTAGCCATCCATATGTGAAGGCCCATGAAACATATTTATAGACTAGTAGTGGCTTCTGACGTAGAAAGAGTGATATGGTCTATCTTAAACATATCTTAGTTGTGCAGGCATCTGTTGTAACTTCCGAGTGACAATCCATTTGCTCTTTAGAAAACAACATATTCGTTGATATAAATTAAGCTGCCAACATGAATTTGACGCGCATGCGTGAAGACCCATAGGGAAACATATGTATAGAATTTACAAGTTTTGTTGACAATAAAAGGAGTGATCCAATGCATGTGGGGAAATAATTGTGATTTTTCACGGTTTCTTTTTAATGGAAAAGTGAAGCCTCACGCTGTCACGCATGACTAGAAGACGGAGCAGGATTTGTCTTTTTTAAACCGGAGTGGGAACACACACAATTTATTTTAGGATTAGTAAATAGAAATGGATGCAGTCAGTGGATGCAAAATAGGATGAATAATGAGTCATGATCGGCGCAGGCAGAAAATATTATTTGATTCGCAAAAGCTTTGCGCGTCAATGGCTAAGAAAATTCAATTTACAACCGCGTCATGCTAGGTACTCCCTCCGTTTCATGTTACTACTCTAAGTTTGACTAACTCTATGGAAAAAAGTAATAGTACTTACAACACCAGCATAGTTTTACTAAATCTACAGTAAACCATCTTTGGTCGGTCAACAGATTTCACAGTAGTCTCGGTTGTATTAAAAACCGGGACTAAAAACATCTTTAGTCCCGGTTTAAAAGCTCAGGTGTACTTTTTGATCTTTAGTCCCGGATAATGTTATCAACCGGGACTAAAGATCTATTTGTTACCAACTGGGAAAAAAGATTGACATAAGCTTTACTCCCGGTTGGTACACCAACCGAGACTAAAGATCTATTTGTAGTCCCGGTTGATAACACTAACCGGGAAGTTACCAACCGGGAAAAAAGATCGACATACACGGAGAGACGTGCGTGTGGATCAGATCGACACATATCTCCTCCTCCCTCTCGGTTCTATCTCCTCCTCCTCCTTTAACTCCTCTCCTCCCCTCCTCACACCCTATCTCTTCCTCTCCTCCTCTCCCTTCCCCCTTCTCCCCATTTGCAGCGGCGGCGCACGGCGGCCGTGCGCGGAGGGCCAAGCGACCGGCGTGGCGGTGGCTGGCGGCCTCGCGGCGGCGCGCCGGGCTGCCTCGCGGAGGGTTGGGCGGCCTCGCGGGGTCGCGGCGGCTGGCGGCGCACAGGCGGGTGGCGTAGGCGCTTTTTTTTTTTTAAGATTTATGACTCGGATTGAGATTTATTTGATTTGTGTGTGATATGAATATATAATGTATTTGTGATGAATTTTGTAAAAGTTGTGATGTAATTTTTTTTTTAAGATTTTGTGATGTATTTGGAGATGATCAATTTGAGGATTTAGAGGTGATAATCAATTTGATATTTTACAATTCGGGAATGATTGATTTGGGATTTTGGGGGCGGGATGGAGTGAAATCAATATTAAAAAAAATAAAATGAAAAAAAGAATAAAAGAGCAACCGGATCTAGGCTGGCTGTTACCAATCAGGACTAAAAAGGCTCTATCTTTATTCCTAGTTGGTAACACTAACTAGGACTAAAAATAAATTTTTACTCCTCGTTATTTCACCCGGGACTAAAGATAGCGATCTTTAGTCCTGGATTTGTTTTCCAACCGGGACTACATGGGGTTACGAACCAAACCGGAAGTAAAAACTACTTCTCCACTAGTGCTATAATTAAATAAATTTTCATAATACATTCGTCTTGTGTTAAAAATATTACTACTTTTTACTATCAAACATAGAGTAGTTTGACTTTAACTAAAGTCAAAACATATTCTAACCTGAAACGGAGGGAGTAGTAGGCACTAGGGGAGAGAGCTTACGCGGCAGTTAGCAACTAAGTAAAGACGCGTCCCCTAGAAAAGCAAATGAGGAGGAAAAGATCGCAAGGGTGGATCTACTCCAAAAAGATCTCCCAGGAGCAGAGTACACTACTAAAAAAGGGAAAAAAGTTTCTCCATATGGCCCAAAACCTATTTTCGTATGCATAATGTTAGCCCGTCTGCCCCAAATGGTATGCGGAAATCTGAATTTTATGTACAGGTAGCACGTAAAAATAAAAATCCAAAAAAATAATAATATTAATAAAAAGAAACCCTAGGAATCTCGGCGGCGGCGGCGCAGATCCGGCCGTCGCTGTGTCGGTTGCCGCCGTCCGACGAGCTACTCACCGTTGCGCCTACCACCGCCCGAGTACCCGAGGAAGGTAGAGCCGTCCGCTATTCACCGCCGGCCCTCGCAGTCCACCGAGCTCACCGCCGCGCCCGCCACTACCCCGTTGGCACTCCCGGCTGCGGCGGCCACCGCCGCTTCTCCCCGAGCCCGTCGACGTCGCTGTTGCCCACCGTGCAACACCCGGCCAGGCCTGGCCTCTTCCGAGCGGAAGCCGCTGCTCCCAGCCATTCCCGCCCGCTGCCGTTGCTCCCTGAGCGTGTCGCCAAAGCCGTCACGTGCCGTCGTCGCGCAGCCGCCGTTGCCACCCCGTTGTCGCCGGGAAGTGAGGATGAGAGGAGATGAGAATGAGAGGAGGTGAGGAGGAAAAACAATCTACTCTCAACCCAATTTAACCAATTGAATCGTTTTTTCAATGTTGCAGCTACTTTTCACCTAGTTTGTCCATCTTTGTCGATTTGCGCTGTAAATCGTCTGCCTTCGCTGCGAGAGTACGAAATCCCTTTGTAGGTTTGTCCCGTAAACCTTTCATTTGCCCATGAGATGGGTGTTTATCCCTAGTTTCATCTAAATCAGCTCTGCTAGCCGGTTTAGTCTATCAAAACCCATCTTGATATCACCACATAGCATTTAGGTGTTCTGATCATTTATGTCTT